GAACCGCCTTGCTGCAGGGTGGGGCGCGGGGCAGGGCCCTCACTCAGCCTTGGGGACACTGTGGTCCAGGGTGGCCAGCAAGGGCCCGGGAGCTTCCCACCCCAAGTGCCCTGGCAGCCTCAAGTGCCTCCTCCGGCCAGAGCTGCAGCCCAGTCCCACAGGGAAGTGGTCCCGTCCCTCCCTCCAGCTGCCACCTCCTCCTTGGCATGTCCCCTTGGCAGCCTCCCGGAGGCCCCCACCTCGAAGCTCAGCTTGGCGGTGAACGGGTCTTCGCCTCCCATGGGGTCCATGGCCTCGTCCAGCCGCAGCGACTGGGAATCTGGAGGTTTCTGGTCAAGGTTGAACTGAGGCCTGGCAGGGGACAGGCACCACCCTCCTCCCAGCGTGTTCTGACTCAGGGGCGCTCAGTCAGGCCCCAGAGGGGCGACCAGGTCCCAGGAGGACGGATGGAGGGGCAGGGACGAGGGGGAGCCAGCCCTGACTGCAAAGAGGGTGGCCGGGCCCAGGCCTGGGAGGACAGCGGTCCTGCCAGGCCATCTGCTGCCTCCCCACCTGCTCCCAGGTCCCAGGGGATGCACAGAGCCACCTGCTGGGGGAGGCCATGGGTGGGGAGGTTGGCAGGTGCTGTGATGGCTCTCAGGTCACAAGGCGTGGGGAGCAGGGGGGGAGCTCCACAGACCCCTGGGCTAGCTCAGACCAGCCTGAAGGTGTCCGGGTCCTCCCCTCTGCAAGGACGGTGGCAGAGGCTCGGGGGCTCTTGTGGGGACGACCCCTGGAGGCTGCTGGTACCGAGTAGGGAGCGGGGCAGGGAGCACGGGGCTGAGGCCTGATGGCAGCTGCCTCTGGGTCCTCCTCTGGCCTCTGCTCCTCACAGCATGGCCGTGCTTGGCAGAGTCGCCTGGGAGCTTGCTAGAGGCACACTCTGAGAGTCCCCTGACCTGGTGACTTGGCCGCCCGTGATGGCAAGACCAGGTGTGGTGTGGGCCTGTTCCAGTGAGACGCAGGACCAGGCTGGGCAGGTAGCATCCCCGTTGCCACAGGACAGCTATGGCCCCAGGTTGCTCCAAAGGACTATGCCCTGGGGATCTGTGGTCAGGAGGAGAATCCACTCTTCTGAGGGTGCTGGGCTGGCATCGTAGGTGGCCACCTCTGTCACTATGCTGTGGGACAGAGCTGCCTAGAGACAAAGCTACCAGGGAATAGTACAGGCGGCAGGAGCCACGCAGCCTCCAGCCGTGTGGAGGGGCACCCTCTGCTCTTGGCTTCTTATTCCCTCTGTTTGCTCAGCTGTCTCTGAGTTGAGGTTCCTGTCACTGGCATGTAGGAGTGACCTGACTGCCAGGCACATGGCACACACTGTAACCACCCATGCAGGAGGGTTGCAGGTTTGAGGCCAGCCTG